AGTTTATTTATTTATTTATTTGACAGAAAGAGAGAGAGAACACAAGCAGGGGGAGTGGCAGGCAGAGGGAAAGGGAGAAGCAGAGGCTTCCCACCAAGCAGAGAGCCAAACATGGGGTTCAATCCCAGGACCCTGGGATCATGACCTGAGCCAAAGGCAGACAGACGCTCAACCGAATGAGACACCCAGGCACCCCCATGATTGCCAATATTAAAGAAGAGATAGGGAAAGACATTTGCTACTGAAAATGTTTTTTTCAAAATATTCCTAAATTCAGGGCAATCCTTAAAATATCTAAGTGGTTGCCCACCCAAGTTTCTTTCCTTCAAATTTAACATCAATCCTTGTATATTCAGATATGTTTTTTCTGCATGGTAGGTAGGATATCAATTTCATAAACTAAATTAGAACTTCTGATACTGGTTGCATACAGAATTTCTAAGTACCTTTCAAATATACTTATGTCCAGGCCTCACTATTGATCAACTGATTTAGAATATCTGGGGAAATAGTCTGAACATAGTACTCTATGAAAAGTTTTTAGTTGATTTTTATGTGCAATGATTTATACATATGTTCAAAGTCAACAACACCCACATGCATTGACATCCATGACAAAGTACTTGTTGGCTTATGCATACCCCTATATCTCGGCTTTAACAAATATAAAGAATGAAACCTCAATGGGTTTCCTATAAAGAAATTAGAATACTGGTAGGAAAATAGTAGGACTCAGAGACCCAATATGGTAAAAACTGAGAGGATATGTCTGAGAATCTTGAACTCAGGATTCTCTTTTACAACTTTCTGAAATATTTTCCCACTTGCCAGTGGAGAGCAACCTCTTCTTTCTTAAGCAATAAGTAAAAGCCTCACATGAGCCAAATGCCTTACCAAATGATGTCGGTTCTTTTCTTAAACCACCTCTCTTAGCTCCCTTCAGAGCTTCCAGGCAATACTTAAGATTATAGCATAGCCTGAGCAGGGAAATAATTTCCCTATTATGGGAACAAAAGCAGTTTACTCAACAAAGGATTACAAGACTTGGTCAATATTATAAGACTGAACAGTTGAGAGTTTATAGACATGGTTATGCTCTTTTATATCTCAGCATTTAACCTGAAATTGATCCTAATATAATGTGAGAATGCCTTCTTAAAGCTTAAAATGGATGTTAACATATAGTAAATAACATGAAATGGTAGATCTACCTTGGTAGAGAATTGAGGAAGGTGTTAAAAGAGTCAAGATTTGGGGTAAATTAAAATAAATGTGTTACATGAGAACAGATTATCCACCATGTGACTCTGATCACCAAGAGGGCCCAGAATGTGTTCCCTTCATAAGACAGTTAAAAGTGGACCAATGAAAGGGGCACAGTCATCACTGAGAAACTCAGTGTAGGCTGTCTTTCATACTAAAGTTGGTAGTTGATGCTGCTGCTATACTAATGTGTCCTTAACATAAATAAAGATGACGGATTCTTAGAATAGTGAGAGGCTGGTGGTGGCAAGTAACCATCAGAGGCAACATGCCTATTATAGGAAGCAAGGCCAGAATAGTACTTTGGCTTGAAGACTTTTTGGTGGTTGCTAATGACACATCATGTTCCTAGATGTGAATAGGTGGGAAGCAGACTACAATATCTCATGATTTATATAACAAAGAAAATCAAGAATTGGCAAGCATAAGGTTGCTTTTATCCAAATAAAATATCAAAATCATTCACCCAGCTTCCAGATCTGAGTCAGTTCTCATACCCAGTGCCATCAATTGAAAAGGAATCCAGAGTCTCTTGAGAATGGGTTCCATAAAGCTATGGCAAATATAAACAAAAATCTGGGCAATAATATGTGCAGTCTTTATTTTCAGTGAGACTTGTAGTAGTTTACAGAGTAACTGGACACAGGAGAAGAACATCAAGATTTTTTGAAGTCTATTGAATATCAGCACGGACAATGAGAACAAGAGAACTGTACAGTTTTCAGGTTAGAGTGTGTCTTAAGGAGACCAGATAATAAATGGAATCCTGACCCAAGTACATCTCACAATATTACTAATTGGCCTGTAGACTTAGACTGGTTCCTTAAGTCAATATTGGGAAAGATATAGTTATCAGTTGACATACACCTCACATTAGTTCTCATATCTGTAGATTAACAGTTATGATCCTAGAAATGATCAAAGAGAAGCCCATAAAATTCCCCCTTTGCTCAGAAAAATATTAAGTCACAAACAGAATGGTTTCCAGATGCAACTGCAGATATATATTGAAACTCCAAAGATGTATAGGCTTCTAGGGTAGTGATCCCATTCATATGCTCTTTCAATTCTATTGTACATTGCATTTGCTGTTTTTCCTGCATAACAAGTTGGACTGAGGCGGTGACAATTCACCACCATAAACCAAAGTCAAATCCACTTCTACAGTTTTCTATTTCAGCAAATCACCATAACCATTATTCTGCAAGCCAAAAATCTAACAGCATATGACATCTCAATCTATCTCATTTCCCATGGAAGTCCTGTTAATTTTACCTCCAGATTACTGTCAAATCTGTCCTCATCTATTGCCACTGATTATGTTTCTCATTACTGAAATTTGTTTTCAAAGACCTCCTCTCACCCTCAGAATAAAAAAGTACTTTACATTCCTTTTACCTACCTCTCTAACCTCAACTTGTACCAATAAACACCTTGCTATTTATATTTCAAAACCTTGGACTTTCCACTTTCCAAGTGCACTTTTTTTAAATTTTTTTGTTGTTATGTTAATCCCCATACATTACATCATTAGTTTTAGATATAGTGTTCCATGATTCATTGTTTGTGCATAACACCCAGTGCTCCATGCAGAAGGTGCCCTCCTCAATACCCATCACCAGGCTAACCCATCCCCCCACCCCCTTCCCTCTAGAACCCTCAGTTTGTTTCTCAGAGTCCATCGTCTCTCATGGTTCGTCCACCCCTCCGATTTCCCCCCCTTCATTCTTCCCCTCCTGCTATCTTCTTCTTTTTTTTTCCTTAACATATATTGCATTATTTGTTTCAGAGGTACAGATCTGAGAATCAACAGTCTTGCACAATTCACAGCGCTTATCAGAGCACATAACCTCCCCAGTGTCTATCACCCAGTCACCCCATCCCTCCCACCCCCCACCACTCCAGCAACCCTCAGTTTGTTTCCTGCGATTAAGAATTCCTCATATCAGTGAGGTCATATGATACATGTCTTTCTCTGTTTGACTTATTTCACTCAACATAATACCCTCCAGTTCCATCCACATCGTTGCAAATGGCAAGATCTCATTCCTTTTGATGGCTGCATAATATTCCATTGTACATATATACCACATCTTCTTTATCCATTCATCTGTCGATGGACATCTTGGCTCTTTCCACAGTTTGGCTATTGTCGACATTGCTGCTATAAACATCGGGGTGCACGTACCCTTTTGGATCCCTACTTTTGTATCTTTTATCCCTAGAGCACATTGTTTCCTTTTCTTGGACTGGGTTGTTTCAGAGACATCTCCTCCCACTTCCCCTAGTCAACTTCAATTCACCCTTCTTATATTATTTCGCTTGTTCCTTTGCAGGAAAGCCTTTTCTGATACTAGCACCCTATAGTAGGCATAATATATGGTAAGCATTCAATAAATATTTGTTGAATGAATATATAAATAATGCATAGACTCAAACCAGAAGACAGGAAGCAAAAGACTACTTGCCAAATCTGAGGCTAGAAATGAAAGAAAAAGCAAGACATTTCCTGAAGATCCTTTGAGACAAGGATCCCACAGCTAATGCAAAGTAGTCAAATTAAAAAAAAAAAAAATCAAGCTCTGACCAATTATATACTGCTCCAGAAAGGATTAAGTAAGTTCTTGGAGATAGATGCTAAGCTTCTGGGCAGTTTCTCTTTCTGTTAGGATGAGGTAAATTTGTGAGTGGAGCACACATTCTTCCTTTTAATAATATTATGATGACAAGCCTCATCTGTTAGGGTGTTCTTGACTAAAAGTAACTCAAAACCCAACTAAAATAGTTTAAACTGGAGGAAGATTTCACAAAGCAAAAATCCTGGAATTAAGGAAGTATCACAGTTAATATAGTTGTTTTGAAATATCAAGTCCTGGAATTTTTTCCATCTTTCATTCTGCTTTCTTCATGAAGCTAGCTTTTTGCCTCGTGAGATGACACCAAGAAGATCAAGACTCATATATTTATATAATAACATTCAAAGGTTGGAAAAGGAAAACTCTTGTTTTTTGTCTTTATTTAGGAGCAAGAAAGAACTTTTAAGAAGTCTCTCCACCACTCAGCAGACATTCCCCTCTGACTTATTGATCAGAATCATGTCATAAGTCCATTGCTGAACCAATCTCTACAGAACAGATTCACTGCAATTGGCTAAGACTAATAGAGCTCCTCTGCTAGGGCTGGAGAAAGGTCCTAAAGCACATGGCCTACTATCAACTGAACAAAATGAACATTATTTTATCCAGGAGGGGAGTAATTGACAGCGAACACTGTCTGACACCCTGTCATTTAGTAAGGGACCCTTATGGACCTATCATGATACTTTATTTAATGTGCATATTCTATAGTCTTAACAATAACCCAACAAGGTTGGTGTGATTTTTAAAGACGAAAATATTAAGACTTAAAGGTTGAGTACTAGTACACAAGGTAATATGATTAATGACATGGCCAAGATTTAAATGTAAGCCTGACTTAAAAATCTGTTGTTATATTATATACATACTGAGATTCCAATAATAAACAAAATTCTAATAATTGTCCACTAAAATATTCAATTTCAAATACTCCATATTTTCTATTCAATAATCAGTATCTCCTAAAGTTTCTGACAAAAAGATAGATGCTTATATATATATACTAAATACCTATATTAGCCATACAACACTAAATTGTTTAATTTAAAACAGGCAAATTACTTAACCTCTCTGTGTCTTATTTTCCTTATCTATAAAATAGTTTATCTTCTAGTTCATAGGTTTATTGTAAAAATATAAGTGAACCTGGCACAGAGTAATAGCTTACTATACATTAGCTGATATTCCCAGCTCAAAACTGATTCTTGTTAGGTATTAAACAATGTTAGACAGTAGAGAAAAACAAAATAAAATAAAAACAGAATTACCAGGGCGCCTGGGTGGCTCAGTCGGTTAAGTGTCTGCCTTTGGCTCAGGTCATGATCCCAGGGTCCTGGGATCAAGGCCCGCATCAGGCTCTCTGTTCAGCATAGAGCCTGCTTCTCCTTCTCCCTCTGCTGCTCCCCCTGCTTGTGCTCTCTCTGTCAAATAAATAAATACAACCTTTAAAAATAATAATAATAATAAAGCAGCATTAGCTTTTTTTTTTACTTTGCTTGATGGCTTTTCAAATGTGTTCTTAGAAATACGTAACCAATTTTCATTCATAAGAACCACCTTTTATAGGATTAATGTAATGATATTTAAATGGCCCTACTTTTTTTTGCCAGCTTTATTGAGATAGTATTGACACCCTACTTTATTAAAAATGTTCAAGTATGTAATGTACTACTGTTGATCATAATCATGATGCTGTAATTAGATCTCCAGAACTTGACCAACACCTCTCCATTTTCCCCATCCCCAGCTCCTAGTAACCATTATTCTACTCTATTTATTTCTAATTTCAGCTTTTTTTAAACTCTGCAAATAAGTGGTATCATATAGTAGTTGTCTTTCTCTATCTGACTTATTTCACCTCACATAATACCCTCAAAGTCCATCCATGTTGTCGCAAAAGGCAGGATTTCCTTCTTTTGTATGGCTGAATAATATTCCATTATATATATGTATATTTTCTTTATCCTTCCAACCTTGACAGGCACTTAGGTAGTTTCTGTATCTTAGCAATTGTGAATAATGCTACAATGAACATAGAGGGGCTGATGTCTCTTCAAGATTGTGTTTTCATTTTCTTCAGATATATACCCAAAAGTGGAATTGATGGGTCATATGGCAGGTGTCAGCCTGATGCTGAGGTGGACAGCTCTGAGGTCCAAGATGAAGTTAGGAATTCACTTTTATTCTCCTTCTCCCAAGGAGATGGTGTTTCTCTCCTTGCTGAGCTGCTGGGGCTTGGAAGTGGGGTAATGGGAATAGTGTGAATCTATCTTTCCTACCCTCCTCAATGTGTCCTTTCTTATTTCTGTGCTTCACCCCCGGGTGCTGGAGTCACTCACCTGGAATCCTTGGCTTTTGTGAAGGTATTTTTGTAAGCAGATAGTCATTCATATTGAGGTTTCTGGCAGGTGAGGGGGGCAGGTGGATTCCTAGGCCATCGGTTTTCTGCCCACACTTTTACACAGACCTCATACTGAAAGCTGAGAACAAAGGTGGCAGCTAGGGCACAAGCTCCTTCCCACCACTTCACCAAACCCTAGCAATTTATTTCCACCTCTAGCACTTCCTTCTCCTGGAGATGTGAGTGTTCCACAAGGATGCACTCAATTTGTTTGTGTTGTTTTATGACACCATTAGTCATTCAGCTTTCTTTAACCATTTCCTTATTTTCCTACTGACCCATTACTCAACCCACCAAATCTCATTCTCCCACTTTGTTTGTTCCTCATTGTTCCTTCTATCCCTTTAATACATTCCAGACACATATTTTCTGTGTTCTCTGAATATGCAGTAACAGCTCAAATTCCAACCATGAAGACAATAACAAACTTTCAAATGGACAAAGAGAAAGCCCACAGTCGTGTCTTGTTTACCGAGTTTATGCTTTGAATGAACTCTGCAGGGGATTATCTCTGCAAATCCATTGCTTATACTATTGAGTTTTAAGGTCAGTAAATACTATGATTGACCACAGATGAACTGAACCAAACGTGAACTTTGTTTTTCTTGTCTTTTCAATCCATTTTCTCTGCCTACATTTTTCAGTACTACTGCCAACCAACTATTGTCCTCACTTCTGTATCTCACTGCCTCAAAGGGCCCTCTACCATAGCATATCACTGAGCCTTTACCTCTGAATGTAGTGTATCTATCTATGGCCAGTGACAGGGCTACAATATAACATTTGGCAATATGTATGTAACTTAACAAAAATTACTGGTGGTATCTCATTTAATCCCTACTATCTAATAAAACAAGTCAAAGAAATTAGACCAATTAAATCAAATTTATCCACGGGTTAGTGTGGTATCTCCCTAGATTATATTTTAATTTTAAGAGGACGTCCTTAGAAAATAACCCAGTGACCTACCTAGAAATTTAAAGTGCCCTATTCTGGTCACTCAGGATTATATCAGATGGGAAAGACAGGATAGTGTTTGGTGCTGAGATCTAGAAGCAGGGCCTAGAAATTGGCCGTGTTCTTACTGATTATAAAATTGTATACAGGGCGTCTGGATGGCTCAGTTGGTTAAGCGACTGCCTTCGGCTCAGGTCATGATCCTGGAGTCCCAGGATCGAGTCCCGCATCGGGCTCCCTGCTAGGCGGCGAGTCTGCTTCTCCTTCTGCCCCTCCCCCCTCTCATGTGCTCTCTCTCTCTCATTCTCTCTCTCAAATAAATAAATAAAATCTTTAAAAAAATAAATAAATAAAAATAAATAAAAAAAATTGTATACAACCACTATGCTACAGATGTGAGTGGGGAAGCTGGTAGTGAAATGAGCACAAATCACATCATATGATTATGAGGATGAGAAACATAGTAAAACACAAACTCAGTAAGGTAAATCTGGGAAGTAGATTCATGTCATGAGCACGCTATGAAGGCTCGCACACCAGAGTTGTGTCTTTCCACAATGTCAGCTTTATTCAAATAAAGCAAAGTTAATCACAATTACAAAGCAGGTTCAGGATTCCAAACTCCATGACATTTCACCATATGATTAAACTTGGCTTCTTACAGAGCAGGACAGAAGACAAGCCACACAGCAAACAAGAAGAGGGTGTAGGAAGGTAATGAACCAAAAGTGAAGTCAGTCTATGGTCACACAGTTGAGATAAGGCCTCGGTCCTGTCCGGGCCTGCTCTCAGCACTTACTGCTTATTATATTCAAGCAGCAAAGGCTCTCAGTTCTGTTCGGAGATCTGCCGGGCAGAGCCTTCTGCGGCAGCTGCCTTTTTTAAGTGGTCAGACATAGAGGGGTCGTGTCCGAAGAGTCTGACAGTTTGCTATAAAAATCCTCCCCTTTTTAAAGGGATTGAATCGGTCTTGGGCCCCTGCAGACCTGCTCTGGTTCTGCTCATTATCAGTTCTGGGGGGTCAGCTGGTCCCGACGAGATCTCCTAGCTGCAGTATCTTAACTGCTTGCATCATTGCTGGACACAGGCCCCTGATTGACACAGGGCCCTGCTTGACATTGGAGACTCTATTTTGCTCTCTACAATTCCCTCTTCAGAAAATGAAAAGTTGTGTTGGGACCTCCTAACTATGCCACTATTTTTAGAGAAATTAAGAATTTAAAGCTATGTTAATGGGGGTAAATTGATCTTCAACAGGGATACAATCACAAGGACATTATTGACACTCTAAAGGTGAGTGATTATAAAGAGGCACAACACAAATTTCTAGGGTCCTGATAATATTCTGGAAGTCACATTGAGCTGTACTTTTATAACTTGTGTGTGCATGCATGTGTGTGTGTGCATACACATATGCAGATAATTTTTCGACTTCAAAAGCTTTTTTTCAATTTGACAAGAATTTTGAAGTGAGATCTTGCTTTTTGTCTCTTTTCCATGAAGTTTTGGCTTATTCATTCTAACTCCATATTCCTTTACACTCTGTTTTCAACCTGGCAGTTTTTTTGTTTTGTTTTATTTTGTTTTTCGTTTATCCAATTCTGAGTGGCCAATAACCTGGTTTAGCAGGTGTACTGAATGGAAAAATCAATAAAATACACAATAGTAAATCTTCCCAGACAAGATAAATTCATAAACCATCACAGCCTTTCTGCCACATGAGGCAGCCCCGATAAGGATCAGTGATAAGAACCACTTACACCTGAATGCAGTAAAAACGTTTTTACTGACCCTAAACAGTTCAAGGTCATTCTACTTCTTCCAATATAAGTAAGGGTAAAAATAAAGAGTCAGACAAACTCAAAGGAATTGAGAATTTCAACACATTTTAAAAATCATTAATTCTAGCCTTTTCTTTTCATAAGTAAATAAACAGTAACCAAGAAATTGAGTGACTTGTTCAGTTCTACCAAATAATTACTGACAGAAATGAAAATCAGACCTCAAGTCTCTGATTTCCACATCAGTACATTTTACATCTCTGGGCTTCCTCTCCAAGAAAACCTCTTTTATAATCAATCAATCAGTATGCAATAATTCATGGAGCAGCATCACCTAGAAAGTAGAGGAGACCTCCATGGTGCTGTACCAAATGGAAGGCTTCTATAGGCAGAAATGGGGAAGAACAAAATGTTACTAGAAAAAGAAAAGACAGGATTATTTCAGGCCAGGTCACCTTTCTTTGGAGGAAGATGGAGGGTTGTCTCTTATGCAGATTATTTTATTAATATGATCAGGAAATTCCAGACTGACGGGTTAAAGGTCACATTCTTATAATTAAGTCTCAGTTTGCTGTCCTAGGAGCAAGTGATTCCATTTGGGCCTTTTTAAATGCATTATTATTATTATTATTTTAATACTAGTTACAGGCCTAGAAGCATAAAGGGATGGTATGGGTAGATTTTGAAGAGAATCAGCATTGTTTTGCACGGCAACTGCCTTAGGGGAGGACATTACTGTTTTCTCAGGCAAAGCAGAATTAACCCCCTCAAATAGAGATAAAAAGTCACACACCACTGTGGGCAGGGATGTCCCCTGCCACAGACGGTGGGGACACCTCTTCCACTGGCAAAGACTACACATCATAATTTAGGATTCAATGTCCCCAGCTTCATCACAGTCTTCCCACATATCCCCAACACAACTTATAAATACCATTTTTCCCCAATCATTGGCCTCACTTTAACAGTAGACACTCTGGAGGTGGAAGCTCAGGTTGCATTGTAACTGAGCCAATCACAAGATGAGATCGTGCATTCGGTTTTCAGCAATTTCAGCCCTGTGGTTACAAAAGGTAAGGCTCTGCCTCAGAGCACACAAGGAAGCTCTTAGGTCATTGCTGTGGCTTTAACTGGGAATTTAAATAACTGAACTCGTTTTTTTATTTATTTAATTTTTTTAAAGATTTAATTAATTTTTGACAGAGAGTGTACAAGCAGGGGACACAGCAGGCAGAGGGAGGGAGAAGCAGGCTTCCCGCTGAGCAGGGAGCCCAATGTGGGG